CTGATAGCGAGTTTAGCGTCGTAGATGGCGACAGGTCCGGCCGACCCATGAGCTTTTATTTGCTGCGAAAGGAGGTGGAAGCGGGCTCATTTTAAACTACGCGCGGTTTGGCGTCAAGTCTGGCGTAAGCCAATCGAATGTTCGTGGACTTAAGTCAATCGTCAAAGTCCAGAAGCTCCGTCGTTGGGTACCCCGCGCCCTAGCGCAGCGGACAAGAATCGTCTGAAAAATCGAGTCGACATGACACTTCCCCACTCACGTTCCGCGCACCGCTGGTTGGATCAACTTCATTATCACTGGAGATGAGAAGTGGGTCCCGTACGCTGACTACAACTGAACCCAAATTACCATTGGGACAAATATGAAGGGGCACAAGAGTTCTCAAGAACAACATACGCGCCATAGTGATGCCGTTTATCTGGTGGATACGAGGCGTAGAGTACAACGAACTGCTCGATCAAGGTGTCGCTGTGACCACAGACATTTACTTTCGTCACTGAAGTTGAACATTGAAGTTGCACGGACTCCAAGCCAGAGTGCACTTCCACCACGACAACCAAGACCACATATCACAAGAATGACAAAGGGAGAGCTAGCAACTTACGGATGGACCGTTCTACCACCTCCACCGTGCTCCTCCGATCTCGCCCCATCGGATTACCATTTATTCTTCCATCTTCAACATTTGGACTGCAAGACTTCGACAACCGCGACGATATCAAGAATGCACTCCAGGCTTTTTTCGATGGCCTGCCCGCAACCTTCTAGAACAAGGGCATATATGGCTTACCCAAACGAATGCAGAAGACCATCGATGAAAGAATATTGCAGATGATTGCCTACACTCGTTTTAAAATTAGCCATAAAAATTACAAGCTCAAAATTGGTCAAGACTTATGCATTAGCCTAATATTTTCACGCTTTTTCTCTATAACCTTGTATTAATAGAACATTTTGTATGTTTTATTAGATGTTCCTTCCCACACACAGGATTTACAATTATATTGACACTATGTTGCACAAAAGAGGGCAAGGAAAATCAATTGCGCATTTTAATAGAGAACCGAATAGGTGTTCTCCAATTTTAAGAATTGACTAGTAACGATACAAATAAATTCTTAAAGGCATTTTTTTGGTCTGACAACTTATCAAATATGAAATGTTCAGACGATTCATAAAAGCGTAAGAGTACTGAAATTCTATCTTTGTCTTACATTCCTCTTACAAGTTTGTGATGAACTCTTTTATCGACCACCCTTTGCTTAAATTTTGTACGTTGTAGATCATATTGAAGTGATCAACCCTAAACTCATGTTATTCCAAAACAATTCCACCATGCGCGCGATGTGAAAAGAAGGCTTGAGACAAAGGGAACTTCCGTTAGTATTTCTCACATCAAATGTCTTCGGCAAATTTGGTTGTAAAACAACCACAAAGTGTGGCCATGTCATGAGAGACAAATCCAAGCTTGCGAGCGTACAAATTCTTGTATTCTTGTACGAAAATACTGGGCAATTTGACGAGCTTTTTTCGTTGTGTTTTCACCAATAAAAGTACTGTTCAAGGTAGGTAGCCAAAATCACCTTTGATTTGCAAGAATAACAGCTAACATGTTAATTAAAAGTTTTAGTTGATTTTTCAAAAATTCTGCTTCGTCAGTGATGCGGTTCATTATTCGACTAAGAAGACGTGTTAAACATCCAGCCAAATTCACATTTGGGGAAGAACTTCTTCACGTGGTACCACAAAGCTGGCAATTTTGCCAAGATCATGCAGCATTAATAGCGAATTGCACTGACGAATGCTTGAAAAATGTTAAATTCCATTCGTGGGAAGCCAAAATGGCAAGAGTACTAGTATACATGAGATTACAGAAAAATTCATTCAAATTTAGGCTTTGCATGATTGATCTTAGATAATGCGCCGGCGAACAAGCGTCGGTTTACTACGAATAAACTCTTGAAATTTGGACAGACTCTCTGAATCGCCAGATCTAAGTCTTATAGAGCTTGTATGGGAAAATATGAAGATTTTTAATAGGTT